ATCACCCGTCATGTGTCTTGAACAGCCACTGTCTAAGTACCAGACACCTGGGTACTTAGTGGCTTCCTGCATTAGGAGGAGGAAGATTTTGGTACCCAATTAAGTTTGGGTCCGGAGTAGTTAATGGTGTGTGTCCCTACATCAAGTTTGAAGTTGCAGGGAATCTTCCTTGCAGCTCTAAACTTGTTGGGATTGTAATCATAGTTGTAGGCATAAAACTTCCTACGTGCAGGAGGTGTTATTTCCTGTTTCCTCCTAGCAAACCTAGGTTGATAAGACCTATGATTTTGTCTAGGTAGTGCATAGTGTGTCCTGTGTCGGTTATAAGCATACTTAGGTGGCACAAATAGCTTTTAGGGTGGAGGGTGACTATATCTTGCCATAGTTCTCCACTCAGAATTTCTTGGAAAACTCCTGTCTACCCCATAATGAGTATAGCCTCGTGTATAATGGGGGTTAAAAGGTTTTCTTCTGAAATTATTTCCTTTTTGAGGTTTGTCCAGCTTCCTATAGTTCTAAGGAGGGACTACCTTTTTGGAAACTTCTGTTGGTTTTTCCTTTTCCTTCCCTTTCTGCTTATTTGGTTTAGCAGTAGGTTTAGGAGGGATGAAAGTTGTTTTCCCTTTCCTTTTAGAGCTAGAGGAGTTAAACCCAAGTCCTTCACGACCCTTATGTTTGGTCGTTTCAAGAAGCTTATCCACTGCCTCTTTTGACTTAAGAGTCCCTAGTTCTTTGTTAAGGGATTTCACCTTTTCAGAGAGAGATTCATTTTCAGTCTTGAGTTGAGTGATCTTCAGTCAACTTGAGATTCTCTTTACTCAATAGTTTGTTCTCCTCTGTTAAGGAAGAATGTTTGAGATTTATCTCCTCAAAGTCTTTCATCATCTTTTTGAACTGGTCAAAAAGATTTTCAGAAGTTGGTATGCTTTCATAAGAAGATGAGCAGGAGGTTTGTGAGGTTACCTCTTGATCAGCATCATCTTTGGCCATTAGGAAGAGAGTGTCATCTTCTGACATGGTCCACCTATCCTCATGGTTGGACTTTTCAGCTCTGCGCTCCATGCAGACGAGAGCTTCTTCATCCGAGCTTGAGTTGGATGACTCGTCACTTTCAGCAGCAACCATTGCCTTCTTTTTCTTCTCGATCCTTTCTCTTTCTCCGTACTTCTCCACTTTTGGGTACGGGCATGCTGACTTCCAGTGGCCAGGCTTCCTGCAATTGTAACACAAATAAGATTCAGGAGGAGAGTCACTTACCTGTGGCTTTCCCTTGGATGGCCTTCTGACTGAGTCAGCTTTCTTGAAGAACTTTTTGAACTTCCGGAATTGCTTGACCATCATGGCAAATTCCTCATCGTAGTTCTCCATTTTTGAACTTGATGGCTGACTGTAGGAAGGTGTGTCACAGTTCCTTGGGCATGTCCCTTCACTTGATGGTACTCTTGGAGCTGTCATCAGTGCCGTGGGGAAGGGAATGACTTGTTCTTCCTTCTTCTTCTTCAGCTCGTGCTCATAGGTTCTGAGCTCATCAAGAAGACCTTGAACAGTGTAGTTCTCCAGATTTCTTCCTTCTTCCATGGCTGTGGCTTTGGTGTACCACTCAATTGGAAGAGATCTCAGCAACCTTACATTCTTTTCTTTGGGAGAAAGAACGTGGTTAAGTGATGCAAGATCATTCAAGATTTTGTGGAATCTTTCATCCAGCATATCAAATGATTCTCCGGGAAGCATTTTGAAGCCTTTGAACTTCTCAAGCAGGACTTCTATCTTCTGCTTTCTCAAGCCCTCTGATCCCTCACATAGCTTCCCAAGACCTTGCCATATCTCCATGGCAGTCTTGAGGTGCTTAATTTTGGAGAAGGTGATGGGGTCAAGTGTCTTGAAGATGGCTGCTTTGGCGACGTTATCCAGATTGTGCTTTTTGCAATCTCTATCATCCCATTTTTCCTTGGGCTTTGGAATGTACTGGACTACGGCTGGAGTTGCTGGATTCCTCTCAGGATTCTCCATTTGGATTTTCAAGGGTCCATCCTCAAGCACCATCCACATGCAATCATGTAGAGTGTAAAGGTGTGCTTCCATCATGATCTTCCAATCATCATAACCTAGAAGAGAAAACTTGGGCAAACCGTGATCCATATTGTTCACCATTTTGATCGCTTCTCGTTAATCTAAATGTAGATAGTGAGAAGACTGCTCCGATACCAATGGGTGGTCCCAAAGTGGTGAAATACAAAGTCTAGAGGGGGGGTGAATAGACTTTGTTACAGGTTTAAAATCTTTTTCGTTTCTTTTGAAAACGAGAAAATGAGTGTTAATCTAGAGTCCTTGTGAACTTTAGATTGTGTGCGGAATTTGGTGGGTGGAGTGAGAAGTAATCAATATGGATAGGTTAGTTTTCACAGTTAATATAATTGCAAGTAAGAATAAAGATAAGAGAGAGAGACACGCAAACTTTAACGAGGTTCGAAGGTGGGGTAATCCTTCTACGTCCTCAAAATCCCCTATGTAGTTGGTTGTTGAATAATGAACCAACAATTACACTTGTGTGAATTTCTGCACGGTATATCTTCACAAGACCAATGTTGCTACTGCACTCGTGCTGGCTTTGTTGTTCCTTCGAAGGTCAAGCTTCTTCAACAACTGCAAGATCCGAACAATAGGACTTGCAAGATCAACTTGTAAGAGAGTTGACCTACCCCCTTTTAATCAATAAGTTTGATCAAAAGTAATATCCTTCAACGTGGTGTGGTGCTTGAGGCAAGGAAACCTTCAAGTGTTTACACTATAGCTTTTTGGAAGGAGGAGAAGTTTGCTTCTGGATAAGGAGTTTAGAAATCTCTCTTTATCAAGCTTTTTGGGCTAACTGTGAATGAGATAGCTTTAGTGATTGCTTCGTTGTGTTGTTGTATCAACGTATCTCATCGTGTTCTCT